TGACGCAGCCGGTATCTCGGTGGTTTCCAGCAGAAAACGAGACACTGGCCTCGACGAGCACGGTGACCAGCACCCGTGGGGATCATTCTCACTTTGTGTCTTTGAGAGAATACGTGCTGGGGCTCTGCGTCCTGATGCCGGGACGCTCAGGCAACCCACGGTGTTAGAGCTCAACCAGAAGTAAACCTTGAATTTTCTCTGGCGGTAAAAGGAGCCTGAAATCCAACACAGATACACCCTTGTGTTTCTAGATTCGCCTGTTGACACAATGCTGTTTTGGAGACATGAGAAATGCTTTTGTATGGTGGAGCGAGGAAGGATCTGTTACAGTTCAAAATCACTTTCAGGGGCTGTTTTGGGTTTTCAGTGGTTAAAGGTAGTTCCTGAGTTAGGTGGGATGAGTGCTAGTGTAATAGTTGATTTAATGAAGCAGCTTCCCATTTTGGGATCTTCTCTGCTGCTTGTTGGTCTTCATATTTTAGTTAGTGGAGGGTCTAAACTCAACCTTTGGATTTTTTCAAAAGGTTGAGGCTCGCTGATTATCCGTGGTTTGCAAGCAGCGTAGCACCAAGCAACGCGTGGGCAGGGCCTTCCCCGGGCGCTCCTGGCAGCCACCAGTGGGGAGAGGCACGGTGATGCAGGCCAGGGCGAGGCTTTGGAGGTTGGATTTCAAAGGAGTGAAAATCTCCGTCATGTGAGAATTGAGGAATGCTTGTAAGGCTCGCAGAAACAAGTTCCATGCTGATGTCGAACACGGCGTTCTTGCAGGCCAACGCTAACCAGAAAACAACAGCCAGCGAGCCCCCAGCATGCCTGGCCCCTGTGTGCACCTCCATGGGGACGTGGTGGGGACAGAGCAGGTGTCCTCCTGTCTAGAGCCCTGAGGGTAGGGAGGAGGAGCCTGAAGGCTCTTTTTGGGGCAGACAGCAGTAGAGACTGTCTCCCCACACCACCCAGGGCCTTATCTGTGAGAGAGGCGGTCTCTGCCTGCTGGTGTTAGTGGGGTGGGTTTTCCCAGTCCCCTTGCCCTGAGAGGGGAGGAGTGGCCGGGGGGTGGGGGTGGGGTTAGGTCACTCTACCAGTGACCTTTGGAAATGGCCCCAGGTGCTGCGGGCATTGATCAGTGACTTGGCCTTTGTCTGAGGCCACTTTTGCTAATTGTTTCTGATCCAGGTGGAGGCTGCAGGGAGGCAAATGTTTGCCTACATCTTTAGGCTGGAACTCAGCTGATGGGCAAGAAGTTAACCAAATCCTTTGAGGTGGTCTCCCCCACCGCCCCGAGGTTGTCCCTCGACTCAGGGCTGATCCCTCGAGAGTTGTCCTGGGCCTTTGCATTTATGTCCCTACTCTGTTCCAAGCGCCCTCCACCTCTGTTTAACCCAGGGGGCTGAGGAGTGGCTGCTGGTAGCCAACATGGGGCGGGGGGGGGGGGGGGGTGCGGGAAGAACCACTAAGGACTGCACAGCAAGGGCCAGATGAGGAAGCGGAGGAGACCTGCAGGGCAGACCCGCTGTGTACACCCTGCCTGTTCTTGGGTGTGTAGCATTAGGTTAGTGGTATCCACAGTGTTGACCCTGAGTTACAAACAAAGGTAATGCCTCTCCCCCATTTTCTTTGAGATGTCAGGGAAGGAGGTGACTCATTTTTTAAAAGGTTGCATTCATAATGGTTAAATTAAAAAAAAAAATCTGCTTAGAAGTGAAACTTCTGGCAACTCCTTAGAAAAGTTGGCTTTTATGAGCAACTTTTCTCAAGAGTTCTTGTTCTACCATTGTTGCCTGTCGGGGAGCAGTGGGTTTTCCAAGTCCTGTGTGAAACCAGCCTCTGCCATCAAGAATGGACTAGGTCTCTTCCCAGGACTCGTGTATAATAAGGGTGATCTTCCTTTATACCGATTTGATGCTGGTTTCCGGACACTGTGAGCTGTTGCATCCCATTTACTTGTCCCTGGATCCCTCTGAGGTAGACCAGGCAGGAGTTTCCATGGATACGGATAACGGCGGCACAGGAGGGCATGGATGGACTTAGGGTCATGTGGCATGCAAGTGACCAGCTTGGTTTCTGAAGCAGAACATTCCGAATTTGCCAGATGAGCGCTCTTTGTGTTCTGTCCTGACGCCTTCTCTTGCCAAGGCCCCCACCCACGATGGTCAGAGAGCCGACAGGAGGTGTTTTTTCTCTGGCAATAGCTCTGTGCTCTTCTCTCAGCTGCTTCATACATTTTCACGCACGGTTTCTCCCCTACCACCCCTGTGGCTTTTTTTTTTTTTTTTTAAAGATTTCATTTACTTATTTGACAGAGAGACACAGCGAGAGAGGGAACACAAGCAGGGGGAGTGGGAGAGGGAGAAGCAG